TATTATATCGGTATTAGGGATGGCAGAAATCATGATTTAAATCGATTTTTTTGATTTAAAATGATTTAAATCATTAATTCTTATTATGTAATCAAACTATTTTATATTCAAATTCTGACTTTGAATGAGACTTTCAAATCCACAGAATCTCAGACATATTGTTCTACAACTCTACAACACAATACTGAATGATTTAAATCTGCTTTAAATTGATTTAAAATAAAAATCAGTGATTTTTATCATCGTGATTTAAATTACATGCCATCCCTAACCGGTATAACCGCATCCCTACCTGTGTCCCATAGCAATACCCTAGCCCTACCCGATTGTGTAAGGGCTTAACTTTTGAGCCCTTACCCTAGGGCTGGGGCCCGTAAAATTTAGATATAAATTTTTCAAAATTTTTAAATTCCAGAAAATTTATATCTGAATTATCAAATTTAACTAAAAATTTTCATAGTTTGTGATTACATCAGGAAATTTTGAAACCTGATTATAATCGATTACAAGCAGTTAAATTAATTATATAATCGATTGATTTAACCGATTACTATTTAAATCAAAATCATATATAACGATCGATTACAAACGATTTAAATTAATATTATAATAAATTAGCTTTGATTATAATCGATTAAAATCTCTATCGCATTTATCGGTATGGGTGATTATTATCGATTAATTATAATCAGGTTTCAAAATTTCCTGTATTCGGAATTTCACAATTCTGGCCTGCATTAGAAGTAAACTACTATAATATGGGCCTGTGCAGGCTGTACAATAGATTTCACGATTTGCTCATCCTAGTGATACGTATTTTATTTTTAATAAAATTTCATAAAAAACTAACTTATTTAACTTCTAAGATATACAGTACATAACTAGCTTGTATTGGATATTGATGCCGTGATCTAGAGATGTGACTTGGTGCGATTTGGTTCCTAATCGTTTTTATATTTGCAATAAATTAAATTACAACTTGTGTTCTTATAATAACACAATCGGTAAAATTTAAATATTGAATTATTAAAAATGCTTACAATATTGTATTTTAACAAAGCAAAAAGATGAACTTATAAAATTTAAATCAAAATTTATCTAGAATTTAAATCAAAATTTATTAAATTTAAACTAAATTTTGCCTAAATTTTAGACTAAAATTTTATGGGTCCTAGCCCTAACCCGGCCTGTTAGACCCACGGGTACCCATGAACTACCCGTGGGCCTAAATCACTTATGCAAAATTACAAGTGCAATAATAAAACCCACCAAGTATCACTACAAAAATCAGACACGTATGATCAGAACTTAAATTTATTAACCGAAAATGTATATCTTTTTAAACCAGTGAGGTAATTTCTATCATGAGTTGCAAAAAATTCTGGTATAAAACTCGCTCACCGCTCCGGTATTCAAAAATGTGGTGAGTTAGTTTGCATTGAAATTATCGTTATTTCCATCATGAGTCGCTGTAAAATACCCTGCCACAGAATTTACTATTCTAGTGAGACAAGTATGTAGTTAAGTTCGAGTTAGTTTGCATTGGAATTATCGTAACTTCTATCATGAGGTACAGTAAAACTTGCTACGATAATTTGTAGATAAAGTCGAGATAGTTGGTATCATAGTCCTATTATGAGCTGCTGTAAAAAATTCTGTTACAAACTTACCACTCCGGTAAGCTCAGAAAGCCACGTGAACATAACATCTATAGGTACCCGTCAAGCAAGGGTAGGGTAATGGGTAATATCCTAGCCCTACTAATTTGTATAAGGGCTTCCATTACCCTTACCCTAGGGCTTAGAAATCAATGCCCTAGCCCGGCCCTTATGGAACTATTTGCGGGAATCCATGGGCTCGTGCGGAGGCCTACCGTATAGACCCGAAATAACGCACAGGGGCGTTATTTCGAATCTTGGCCCGAATTAAGCCTAATTTAGGCCGAAATTTGAAATTACACCCCTGCGCGTTATTTCGGGTCTATACGGTAATCACGTCACATGATTAAACATTCGGTGATAGGGTCGATTTTGCTGGTGCTAGTAACAAATGATGTCATTGCATGATTTCACGTGATGTTATTAAAGTTTTTTGTTCCCTGAGAACATAAATTTACAAATTTAGATTTTTGATGTTCTCATTAATTAAATTTTCTATCTCTTTCTCTTATATTTCCCCTTTGCTCAAATTTTTGCATTGACCCTTCTCATCTTTTATGCTCATTCATTTCTTTTCGGAAGTTTTCGGAAATTTGCATTCCTATTTCTTAATTCTGCCCAGCATTATACCCGGTCTAACTTATATATACTTTACTTTTCTATTGAAACATAAATTATAGATTTTATGTTCCCTGATTGTTCCTAAAAGAGAACATAAATTTAAATCTATTGTTCATAATTTTTTTAGATGTTCTTGGAAACACTGGTTCGTTGTTCTTGTTTTAAAATTATGATAGTTGCGCGGGTAGTTTCGAGAACAGTGAACCCAGTGATCATCACATCACATGATAAATCGTTTGGCCTAAGTTAGGGTTAATGTTTTGTTAGTGCTAGTAAACAACTGACGTAATTGCATGATTTCACGTGACGTGATGATCACTTTCTTGAAGTGTCCCGTCGATGTAGATCAAGTGAATGGTGAAATTTATCCAGCATTTTGATTGATTGTTCAATTTCAGGGAGACTTCAGCTGAGGGGATGATGTTTACCGAAGAATTAACTCGAGTAGCCTAATTTATAAAAATTCAGTTTACATAATTTAATTATAGGTTAAATTTATAGGTCACAGGATTATTGCATAATTATACTGACAGGTCACTAGTGAATAATAGGTATAATTATAACTTTGAACAATGTTAATTTACTGATATGGTTTCCCTTCTACAATTTGAAAAAACAATACACAGTATTAACAATATTTCATTGTAAAACGATCTGGTTCCAATTATACTATCTTTAGTTATGATATTGAAGTAGCCTGTTCGCAGAAATTTATATGTTTAGCGTGTGAGCAAAAAAATCAAATTCAAAGAAAGATATATCATGTTCCAATTCAATCCAATTAGTTTTCGTTGGAACAATCCAGTAGGACAATGAAATCATATTATAAGAAATAGAAATTCTTCGATGCATCCCATATTTAGATCGGCCGAGAGCTATAATTGGTAAATTTAAGTTTATTTGATAAATAACATATGACATTAACTAAAAGGAGTTAAATCACCGATTCAAAGATTGCACAGCATAACCGTAACGGTGGGGTGTCCAGTGTACTATGTAGATCAAAACTATATATAGTCCTATATGAAAATCGAATAGTAAAAATTTTTCGTGTAACAATCACGAAGATCCATAGTAAAATGCTATAATTTTGAACAAAAATTATTAATATTGCTAAAATATTTTAAATTAATAAAAAAAACTCTCCATTTTTCTAAGATATATACTCCGTCGAGCAACTGAGTGAAATTTTTTAATAAATTAATATGTAAGTTATGGAGGAGATACAATTCGAAATCTAGTAGTATTTAATAGTCTTTTCATAAGAAAAATATTAAATTTCAAATCGTATCTCCTCAAAACTTTACATATTAACTTGACTAGAAATCTTGCCAAATTAATCCTCGAACATTAAATTTAAATAAAATGGAGCGTTTTTTTAAAAAGTTTTCTTTATTAAAAATTTATTTAATTTACCTGATATGTTTAATAATTTCACGTGGTTACACGAAACTATAATAATTTATTACTGTAACGACAGTGAATTTAGCAGCCATAAAGGATCGATATTTAAGTAAAAGCTGACCTGTCATCTACATAACTTCTTAATGTATGTAAAGTTAATATTAAACAGTAAACTCATAATAGTTAGGTAAAGAATGACAATTTGAGTAAAGTATGAGACCTTCCGGGGATAACAGTCGCAATTTGAGTAATCGATGATAGTAAGTTGGTAATTGTGAGATAATAATGAGAAAAATGACTTTATTCTTTCTCTGAACGACAGTCACAAAGTGTAAGGCAAGTCATCAAATTGAAAATTTCGGGTTTATGATTGGTAACCGGTCGGGACAGTATCATGAAAATGCTTGTAATGACCTGTCTGGAAGCTAATCATATTAGGGAATAAAGTGGGACTATTGTGAGTAAATAAAATAATATGAACAATCAAAAAACCGTAGCAAAATCTTATTTTCTAAATGACATTTGTAACTCTTATTAGATATGAGTCTTTTGTTTCCTGTCGCATAGATCGTTCGATTTAATGATTTTCAGACAAAAACAAAATATTTTGCCAAACCAAATAGTGATAAGGTACTGCTTGATTTGCATGCCGCTATTTAATTTAGTATAGATTTGATGGACCATAGGAAAGAGTAACTAAGCTTATACATTTTTGGAGATTTTTCATTGTTCAGACTATGAAAGATTACCGAAAATGTATAAGTCTAAACACTCCAAGAAAGGTCATAGCTGTTTGTTTTATTGAATTAGTACTCTCGAATTCAGAACAATGTATCTTTAGGACAGAAGTTTGTTTTTTTGTTTGATTTTTATTGATATATTTAAGAATGCTTTGTATGATGATCAGTAATGATTTTATTAAATAAAGCCATTATGTGTACTTTAATAATTAAAATCTGCCTGCACGAAATTGTTTGCTAAAATGTAATAAATAACGCTCGTTTTTTTGCGATTCACTGTAAAGTTAGTAAATATATCGTTCCATTTAAATATCTATATCTAAATTTCATCAATTCGAAACTAAAATTTGCAATGCCAAAATTACCAAAGCAAAAGCGCCATTTACAAAACTTAAATCAACAGATGTTGACACTCAAAATTTTTAATATAATTACCAAATTTGATCACGAATATCTCCCAAAAATTCATAAAATTCTTACCAGTATTACAAATGACACTCGAGAAGAAGAAATGTTTCAATCAATTCGTGAAATGCAAGAACCACAAAAAGCAAACGCGTTAAGGCTTTTTGATACAATGCGAAATCCAAGAGGCAAACATGCTAATGAAATCATTTCGCCTTACCTCCAAAAAAAGGCTCTTGAATTTATTACAGAGTATCCAAAAAATCAAGCTAAAAAATTAAAGGCTGAAAATATCGAGTTAAAGTCAGTAAATAGAAGGTTAATGCAAAATAATAAAAAACTAACACACAAAATCCAGTCAATAGGTAGGGTAATATTAAAAATTACATTCTTACATACATTTTATAAGTTTTGTTCATGTGATTTATGCAATAATGTTTTTACCCTATCAGGTAGTTCAAACAGACATCTTCAAAACAAAATTAAAAATCGAATTTCAACTATTCGGTCATTAATAAGAAAATCGAAGCAAATTCCCCCTAATGAATTTAAGCATCAAATTAATCTGCTATTTAAAACAAATAATCGTGAATACTCGCCCCAAATGGTCTGGCTTTCGACCAAGATTTTGCAAATTGGACAAACTTCTTTAACCGCGACAGCTGAATCATTACGTCTAGTCTATGAATTCTTAACCGGAGAGCCCCCACAAAGATGGTTATCCGTGACGACCCTAAGTACTTGGCATAAAGAAGTTTCACAAATTGAAACTGAAGCTGGAATACATAAGGCCACACAATGTTCATGCTATGGAATCCTCGTCGATGAATCAACTCGTGGAGAATTTAAATATTTCGTAGTATGCATAATGTTTTGGGATCATAAAAAAAACATACCATCAGTTACTGTGACCAATCTTGAGGATTTAAATAATTGCACTGGCCAATCAGTAGCAGACAGTACTCTCAAAGCAATTACGAATCATGGGCTTGATCCTAAAAAATGTTTAACATGGGTAACGGACAATACGGCCTATATGTCAGGTAATAAAAAAGGCGCGATTGTCCAATTTAATAAGAAGGCAAATGTAGATACAGTAAGAATCGGTTGCGGAATGCATATAATGCATATTGTTTTTTCGAACTTTGAAGAGACAGCATTTGGCAAGTCACCCTCTTCAATAGGATTTTCCCGGACACCACAACCGTATAACCTCCTATATTTAGCTTGGTATCTCCACGACGGATATAACTCAAGCAATAAAGGAAAACCTCTCAATATGAAATCAAGTTGGATTCAAAAATTATATGACGGATTATTAGGGTATCATTTCTCTCAATACCAATTGCCAATTCGGGGTCGTTGGGGATATGAATTACTTGCTGCAAAGCAATATTTAGCCCGGCGTGAAGCACATATAGAATTTACGAACTGGTTCATTCAGGAACTTGAGAATAATCAGAATACGCCAGCTGCATATCTTTCAGATTGGTATATTTAATTAATATTTATAAATTTAAATGCTTATTTTAAATATATCGATTAATAAGTTTTCTTATACTTACTAGGCGTTTATTTCGGGATTGGCTCTTAAACAAAAAATTAAATATTCAAGTTCAGTGCTTAGTTACATTCGGCGAGCACTTATATGAGCCATTGATGCAATTTATGGTCGGAAAGGATCCTATACCCCGTATTCAAGTAGAAAACCGGTTGGTTCAACTTTTACCTGGCCGACGTGCTCACGAAATGCCGGACAAAGTGAATGAGTGGATAAAATTTTTACATGAACTCTGTGAAAATTTTGACACATTCTTTGGACAAGAACTACTAACGGTACTTGAATCACTAAATAATGAAGAATTTAGTGAGCTCTTTGACAATTTGGAACGGGGAATAAACAAAGCGTATGAAAGTTTTGTAAAATGGATGTCCCCGTGGGTACATTTACCGTTGTCAGTATGCCGGTTAGGTGGAAATTCTAGTCATGAATTTGCGCGGGCTTTTTATCATATTGCTTTACAAACCCCGTGGCTTTCAGTACCAAGCGAATGTGAAATAGAATTTGCAGAACAATTGAGTAATGATTTGGAAATATCCAATAATACGTTCGGTCTTCGGGAAGAACTACAAAATAATCTAGAATTTAAAAATGAGTTTTTAGAATTTTGTTTGAACCCTAATTCTAATGTTAATGAATATCCTTTGCTATATGGTTTTGTTAAAGAGCGAATTTACTTTATAATAGTCCACCAACAGCAAGTGGAAGGACTCTTTAATAAGTTAGATCTAAAGACCCACCCGAATATGACACCTACTATGAAGCAGTCGAAATTGCAGTTGTCGTCCGGAGATATAGACCTAGAAAATATTACTTTGAGACTCAAAGAAACTCGTGAAAAACGTCAAAAACAGTTACCCATAATTTCAGAAAGCGAGCAAAAAATATTTGGGAAAGAAGTCGCAACAAAAATATTTTTTGATTTGTGTCAAAATTAGTGACATTTTTTTTTCGAATAGTAATAAATCTATATCTTCGTTTATCTAAAAAAAAGAAATAAAAAATAAATCAAATAAAGATCATCTAATCACTAAATGTGTGTGTGTCTGCTTATTGGCTAATTATAAGACACATGACCAGTGAATGAATTGTTAATACGTACGTGATAAAAAAAAAAATCTACTATTAATTTTTATATGGGACTATACATATATTTGATCTACATAGTACATTGGACACCCCACCGTAACGGTAATATCTAAATCTGCTCTTATTATTATTATTATTATTATTTAACAGTCGTACTCTATAGTCACCTCCTACATAATCACATCAATATAATCACAAAAATTTCGAAACAATTTATTAATAACCTTATTAAAAAATATCTCCATATAAGTACGTATAATAGTTATAATCTCATATTCGTTATAGAGGAGGGAGACTGTATCTTAACTTTTTTATTCTCTAAAACTACAAGATAAATCTAAGTTTTTACTGGTAATAAATTTTTTTGGGGTTTGTACTTTATTGGAAATCTTTCCATTTTAGAAATTTGGTCAATGTCATTTAAATCACCGAATTTATGAATATTGTAGAACCTAAATTTTATTCAATTTTAAAAATGGAGTTTTTTGAATGAACTTTTAATTTACCATAATCACAGGATGGGCACTGCATAAATTTATCTAATTATCCGATAACAATAGTTAAACTGTTACCTACAAAATAACAAACATATTTTGGTGGGTCCTCCTAGTGCTATCACCGAAGCTAAATCATTTATGTAACCACTGTACTCAATAAGCAACAGAAACTTTCATTACGTTTATTATATTAGTGGAACTTATTTTCTCGACACCCATTTTATCTACAGCCCATTTCACTGACATTACATAGGTTTAGAGTTAGCATTTATTAGTTGCATATATATTAATAGTAATTGTCACGGGAGACTTGAAGAACAAGGAGCAAACGGAAAATGTGTACTAGGTTGGTGCGCCATGGTGGCTTGATACTTCGGAGGTTCAATTTTTATGTCATTACATTTAAATTTTGATACGTATATATATTATAATTATGCAATTATTTAATTAAATATTTAATTAAATAGCCTTTCCATATTGATATAAATAATGTAAATAACGAAAATATTTCTTATCCAATTGTAAAAATGTAAAATTCGTTACAAGTTTGTATTAAACAAGAACAAATTAATGGTTATAAACGTAAAAAATTTAATATTCATATAATAAATATAAAATTTAGGACTCAAAATTATTCAACGTTTCTATTTCTCAAAATTCATTACAGGTATAATCGTGTAAAGTTCAAAATTTTACTTTAGTTGGCTGCACTTAATAATAAATAAGAGCATATTTAGGACTTCAAAAAATTGTCGGATTTACCTATTCCATTCCAACGAATACTTCCATCAAGTTAAGAATATAAAATTGAAAATTATAGTGAATTAGAATCTATTATTACTGCGGAAAACGTAATAATTGGACAGCTTACAGTTGACTTATTCGTAAATATTAATAACAAAGAAAGCACCTTAGAGTGGTTTAATAAATTTCAAGAAATATCTAAACAACAATGCAACTAACGCGAACCTACCAGCTAAAGGGAATAAAATTGTTTTAGAGAGCTAAGACACTGTATTCGTAGTAATTTAACCAAATTAAATGTTTTATGTAGTTATAATGATTATGCTATTCATAATATGTATTAGCAATTTGACGTTATAAATTTAAAATTCGCTTGAATTACTGTATGTTTATTATGCTAAAAAAAGTTTGGTATTTTTTTTTTTTTTTTACTTTCGTTATTGTTATTATTGTATACATTTTCACTGCTATGGCGCATGTGACACATGTGGCGCGTACACATTTTCCGAGGAACTAAGTGATATATTCGTGATCATCACATCCCACGAAATTATGAAATAACGTCATTAACTAACATATTGGCCTAAAATAACTATTACCTAACCAACGCCTTAGGCGAATGATTAATCATGTGATGTAAACAAATTTTTGATTAGTATGCAGGATGTAGTTTCATAGGCAAATAATAAGATAAATATGATTTTGAAGGAAAAAAAATTGTTTTCGGTTTTTGCATTACACTTGGGCGTTCTTAAGCACCTACCTTAATGGACTCAACAA